GAAGCTGTAGAGACTCATAGTGTTATCCGCAATTCTTACCATGGGAATCATGTTGCAGGAGCAAATCTTAGTGATACTACACCACGCTCCTTTGCCTCAAAGTTGCAGACCAGAAGTCCAAAATACATATCTTTGCTCAATCATCTTCGCATATATCTGCCTGAGGTATGCAGGTGTATGACAGAAAAAAGTACCTTTAATTTCTTTGCTCAATCATCTTCGCAAACCATGCGTTTAGATCGAAAATGGGCTGTGTTGTGGAATAATATTTTGACTTGAGTTTTTGAATTGTAGTCTTTGTGGGATGAAAGATAGAAGCAAGAAAAACAAAAGAGAAAGTGAGAGGGAAAGTGCTAATGTTTGCCTTCGTGGTTACTGTCTTTTTTCTTCTTGTTTTTTAAGATACGACAAACACTAAAATCCCATAGGTGGGGTGTGGGGGGGGGGAGGATGTACTTCACCTGACTTAACGCGTGAAGGGTGAAGAGTTTGTTTGCGATACTGTCTTTTTTTAAAACAATTTTTGTGAATTTCACCTCTTAAAGCTTGCCTTTGCATTTTTTCCCTATATCTGAAGCTCTTGTGTGAGTCCCAATTCTTTATTTTATTTAATATGTAGTACTATGCATTTTATGTTCTCTTCAATGAGAAAACTAAAAATCATTTACCCTTGTATCCTGCAGCTTTTTCCAAATCTAGACAAAGTGGTTTTCTTAGATGATGATGTTGTAATTCAGCGTGATTTATCTCCACTATGGGATATTGACCTTAAAGGAAAAGTTAATGGGGCTGTTGAGACCTGTAAAGGAGAAGATCCGTATGTCATGTCTAAGCGATTCAGAAATTACTTCAACTTTTCTCATCCTCTAATAGCAATGAACATAAATCCTGATGATTGCGCCTGGGCTTATGGAATGAATATCTTTGACTTGTCTGCATGGAGAAAGACAGATATAAGAGAAACCTATCACACATGGGTCAAGGAGGTAAATGCTCCCTCTTTCCCAAAATACGAAGGATATTTACTCTTTGTGAGTGGAAATTGCTACTCCAAAAGCTACTATTGTTTCATAAAAACTATATTAGTAATTTTTTAGAGTGACAATATTCACTCCCTTAAGTTTTGATGCTGTTCTAACTAAAAGTAATTTAAATTATTGAGTTAGAACAACACAATATCTATTGTTGATATTTTCAATTATATTTTTAAAAGTGGTGACTTGACTATTTTATATTATCAAATGATCAATGCTAATGTGTAAATAAAATTAGTTTGACACTGGAATAGTGAAGACGACTCTTTTTTTGGGGATGGACGCAGTCATTTAGTGTAATTGAAAAATAATTGGACATTAGAGCATAATTTATTTGCTTCAAAATATTATTTAGTTAATAACTATGATACTCTTTGGAATTATTTTCACATTACAGGTGTGAATAAAAAATCTGTTAATATTTCAACATTTTTAAAAATTGTTTGTAGTAACTCACAAAAACCAATTATTCATATTAATAAAGGCCTGTAATTCTTTTTCATTATTACTGGAGAATGTTAATAAATGTAATTAAATATGGTGTAAAACACTCTTTATTTACTTATTATATATATATACATATATATATATATATATAAATGTATTTAGTTTTATATTATACTTCGTATTATACTTCAGTTACCAGTTCTAAGTTACAATACCAGTTACCAGACTTAAGACTCCAATTAAAAATAAGAAGAAAAGAGCAAGTCTCCATTCTAGCTTACATCTGGTGTTATGATGATCATCTTTATTTGATTTTTTTGTTCTATATCTCAAATGTTTCGAGGCTTTCACATGCGACCAGATTGTTAATCTTTTAAACTCTTATTTTTTTTTGTAGAATCTGAATTCAAACTTGACGATGTGGAGGCTAGGAACGCTCCCCCCTGCTTTGATTGCATTCAAGAGCTACGTCCACCCAATCGACCCGTCCTGGCACATGCTTGGTTTGGGGTACCAGAGTAAGACAAACATGGAGAGTGTTAAGAAAGCTGCTGTCATTCACTACAATGGCCAATCAAAGCCATGGTTGGAGATTGGATTCGAACATCTCCGTCCCTTTTGGACCAAATTTGTCAACCATTCCAATGTTTTCATCAGCAATTGCCACATCTTGGCATAGACTCAGAGTTTGTTTTCTTTAACATATTCTTTTTACTTATCACTTATTCTCATTGGAATCATGTGAGATCAGATCGAAAACAGCTTTAAATATAATTACAATCAGATCAGAACTTAATCGAATCAGGTCAGAACCAACCGGAAAAGTTGAAGAGAGCAAGTCCTCAGCCCACATGACATGACAAACATAGCAGAGAGCTGAAGCCATGGTTTGGTTTCTTCACTTTTCTTGGCTTCCATAGTACTCTTTCTCTCAGTTTCTCTCTCTCTTCTGTAAATTAGAAAACTTTTAACAGGAAGCATGGGTACGGAAGTATCCTTTTAGTTTGTATTCTATCTGCCCATGTCTTGGTTTAAGAGAGAATTCTTTACCATAATTCCATTGTTTTTAAGGTTAACTTTGTTGCTATATATGTCCACCCCCACCCCACCCCCCGCAAACCCCCCACCCGATATAGATTGTAGTTGCTACTTGCTACATACTCCGTTTGTATCTCCTATTAAATTCATTGACGATTTGTTCTTTTGCTGAATACGTAGTATTATATTGTGCGGAATCCTACTTTGTGCACCAAAGACTAACACAAACAGTTATTGTTCTCTGCAATCAGAGATAATAATTGTTTGCATTTGTCTTTGGTGTGAAAAGCGGGGTTCCCCATTGTTAAAACTCATTAGTTATTGTGAGGGCAGATTGTATATCAGTAATTGTTTCACCCGGGCTTGGATAGTACACTGTAATAACTCCTAATGTTTTAGTACTCCACTTGGTACTAGTTTTATATTAAATTCATTCCACTTTAGATTTTTTTTTACTTTTAAAACATTTCAATTTAGAACATAAATGTATCACATTATATATGAAATCAAGGACAATCAATCATCTGCAAGACGCTTTGTCAATTTTGTTTTAAATTTTATTTTTGCATTAAAAAACCTTATTTTTTCTTAAAAGAGTACACCTTTTATTTTTGGAAAAATATAATTTAAATAATTTTTATTGATTAAAGTATGTTTGAAAAGTGTAAAATAGTTACAAAAATGATTTGTCACTGCATGATATGCTACTTTATTCACTTGTCACAAGCTGATTATATATTTTTTTTGATGGGTTGAAATATTTCATGTCATTGTGTGTTATTCCATTTCTTTGCTTGCTATTGCTGTTTAATTTCTTGACAATGGTATAAAGAATGATTAGTTTGTGCTGAAAAAATAATACTCCCTGTTTTTTTGTGTGTAGATGCAAGAAATTATATTTTTTTGGACATAGAAGAAAATAAATTTGATATTATTAGAAACGTGTTGTGTAGACTATTTTTTTAGAGTAAAAAAGAACACTTTTTACACGCAATATTTTAAAATTCTTCACCTTTTTTCTTCTAACTATTTGTTTTTAGAAAACAAAGACTCATAATTTTTTTAGCACCTGGGGTTGTTTTTTTTTGAATTAGAAAATTTAACTTTCAATTTTTTGTAACTCCTAGTTTTTTCTAATTTTTTCCAACAACGATTTAAAAGTATTTATATGCGATAAAGTATTTATATACGATATAGCGCTATAGGGGATAAATGAAATTTTATGAGTTCAAATTAAATTTTAATGTTAACTTTGATTTTTTTATCATGAGGCTTTTTGTTTTGTTTTACGATATTTTATAAATTTTCATTTTGTAGTTATCGTAAATAGTACGGCATAAAAAAAGATCATACTCCATACGTAACAATTAAAAATACTAATGTAATATGTACTGCAAAATAATATACTACCTCCGTCCCATTGTCTTTGTCCAGTTTTGACTTTTAGAACTGTTCATCTAAGCACTTTGACTCATCAAATTCTCTCAATGTGTAAGCCTAAAAATAGTCATGTGTGATCTTGTTTGATTCGTCTTAACATATAGATTATTAATATATAATTTTTATATTTTTTTAATATAAAAATTACAAGATAAAATGGATTAAAGAAGTGCATTTGATGGTATGCCAAAAGGTAAGTGGAGACAATGAGACAGAGTTTGATTCAAGTACATAAGTGAATCCAAATGTTTAAGCCGTTAAGATATCCAAGTTGTTATAAATAACACAATACTCCGTATTAGCTTATATAGCCGATGTGGGAAGTTCAACTGAACATGCCCCTCACATGGGACACAGATAACCACGGGCCGTCCTCACATCAATAACAGGATAGCATGTGAAATGATACCATTGACTTTAGTTCAATCTAAAAATTTATCTCAAAATGTTAATATACCCAAGCTATTACAAACAACACAATATTAACTTACACAGCGGAAGTTGAATTCGTCATGTACCATTTACATCACTAGCAAATTTTAAAAAATAAATTTAAATTTTAACATTAAAATATAGTTTTATAAATATGTCATAATTATTTTTTCCTACTCGTATTTAATTAAAAAGAAAAAACGGATGAATTTAGTTTTAAACGGGTGTGGTTATTACCACTGTATCCATTTAGGTGCCAATTGGAACTGAAATCGTGTTGGTTCAGGCCATGTTCTTCTCAATTTATTTTTTATTTATTACTTATTTTATTAGAATCAGATCATACCAGATCAGAAATATCATTAAATATAATCACATTTAAACCAAAACAATTATAAATTTATTCCAATTAGATCAGAACCAATCAAGTACTTGAAGAGAACATACCTCAAGAGTAGCTCAAGAAGTCAAGAATCTCAAGATCAGGTTTATTTTCTTTGGAGGTAAGCATTTTAAAATAGTGTAAAACTGTAAATACTAAATACCATAACATTAGACCAATTTATAGTTGATTTTTATATATAAAGATTTTTTTGCTGTTGAAATTACTGTAATCTAGCCCCCAATTTCAATAATCAGCTCTACTCTTCTGTTTCGTTTGGTTTGACTCTCTCTCTCCCTCCCTCTTTCCTTTGGGTGATTCATCGATCTTGGGCTGCTGTAGTTCATAAATTCCGCGTGCCGCCGATTCGATTGAAACTTGTTTCTTGAATTGGATCTGGATTCCGACACAATTTGCAGAATTGGGAGACCTAACGATCTGGTGGAGGTCTGAAAGCTGTGAAGAGGTTGATAGGTTGGCTTGGGGAAGAAGACAGTGGAAATGTCTGTAAGCCAAGATCAGGCCAATCAGTTACTGATCAAGTTTAGATTGATCGATGGAACAGACATTGGGCCCAAAGAGTTCCCCCCGGCTACCCTTGTCCGGGACTTGAAGGAGGCCATACCTGGTCTATGGCCTAAAGGTTAGTCCATTTTCTCCTCAATCTCCCATTGTAGCTCGCAGTGCTTTAGTCTGTAGACCAAATTTGCAAGTTGTGTGGTTGGAAGCTAAGGAAAGATTTTGTTTTGTATCATAAGTCAAGTGTTTTAGATGCTTTTTTACTTTGAAATGCATGTCTAGTTTTTGTCCAAGTGGTTACATTGCTAATGAAGCTTAAATAGTGATCATCACCTTCATGTAAACCACGGATCAAGTCGAAATGACACGTTAAACTTAATTAGCTTACTGTCTATGAAGTTTTGGGTTATAATTACAACAATGCATCAAGGGTCTGACAGAAACAACCACTTCGTTGTTTAACTTGGTTACGTTACGTAGATCTAGACATTCAGACCCAAACGAATTGGTGTTGTACTGAGTTTTGATGATGAGCAGTTATTGTTAGTGGTAAGCAGATATCTAGATTAGCTAGCTTGAGAGTTGAGAGTTCACCAACATATCTTCCAAATGAGGAAGGGTGCCATGGTGGGGAGCAAGACTAGATGAATTCTTTGTACCACGGCGAGAAAAACATGTACTCATCGTCTCATTCACTCTTTTTAAGTGTTCATTTTAGTTGGTTTTACACCTACTCAGAACTGACGAAACAATAAATTTGCCTAAAATCAAGGTAAAAATAGTGTAATACTTCCTTCGTCCCATAGAACTTTTCATAGACGAAAAAGGCGCATCCTAAATATGTATCATTTTGATATTATTTTATAATTATGGCTCATCTATACTACGCATCATATCCTACCTTATGGTAAAGTAAAGGCAAAATTTGAAAATAATATTCCGTATGAAAATTACATATTTCTAGGGTGTGCCTTTTTCCGTCTTTGAAAAGTTTTATGGGATGGAAGAAGTATGATCTAATACCTCTATCCTTACTTTTGATTCCTATCAAACATTTATTAATGGACAGGGCTGAAGTGACACTTGAGGGATACTGAACACGTGTGATTGCTTATTCATGGTTAATATATGGAAATGTATTGTGACAAGAACAGTTGAGTCTCTTATTACATATGTTCAGTGTAACCAGCCAGTTGGTTTTTGCGCTCCACAAGTAATTATGGAAAGTACACCACCAACCCCCACCCCCACTCCCCAATGGTGACATGTCGCTGCTTGAAAAAAATCCTACTTGTGGTGCTTGAGATTGATATATTGACCTGCATCCCCAACCTAGAAAAAATTGAATTGAATAAAATTATGGTGGTAGATTTTCTTGTTGTTTTACATTATCCTTAATTCCATTGCGTGATTTTCCCATTCATTGGTTTTCTCTTTGGTTCTATGGTGTGTCTAATGAGGTTTAATCTTATTAAGTTCTGGCAGTGCATTTAGCTTGCGTATTTCTTCATAGCACCAGAGTTCATTTAACACATTTTTTTTCTTAACAGGGAAAGAAAATGGCCCAAAAGAAGGGGAAGATGTCAAGTTAATCAGTGGAGGGAAAATTTTAGATAACAATACAACACTGGAACAGTGCAATATCGCGCTATATGGAAATTCTGGAGTCACCACAATGCATGCTGTTATCAAACAACCACCCCAGGATACAGGTCAGTACAATTCCGTGAGGTGTAGAGATGTTTAAATATTAATGTAAATGGTGTGTGAAAAACGAGATCTCATTTTCACTGAAGTATGTCACTTCTGAAACCTTCCTTAATCTTGTAATATTTTGCTTAACTTTTACTATCTCTGTCCAAGAAAAGAGTCAAGTTTCACTAAGGTACAACTTTTGAAATTTTAGTATGATGCAACTATTGGAAATCACACACACACACACACACATATAAAATTTTGTTTGTTGGTTTAACTAAATTTAACATACAAAGTATTTATGATACAACACAAGGGAGAGTCACACCCCAAAAGGCCAAAGCTAGCTATTAAGGTGGGAGAATCCTTGGCTATATAAACCCATTACCAAGTCCTCCATTTGACTGGTGTGGGACAAATGAAATCAAGCCGTAACATTCGACCCCCCATAAGGTCCAATGTCCTCGTTGGTCACGGCCACGTTGGTCACGGCTCGTTTCACCAGGCCACCACTCCGTATGATACCATTGATACAGCACAAGAGAGAGCCACACCTCAAAAGTTAGCTATTACGGTGGGAGAACAATTGGCTAAATAAACCCATCACCAAGTCCCCCATTTTACTGGTGTGGGGCAAATGAAATCAAGACGTAACAATTTAACTCACTTGGACGCTTGAAAAAACTAATGGAAATTAGTTTCTTTTGTTCAAATGAGACTTCTTTTTGGACGGAGGGAGTATGTACCTAGAAAGGGTTGTAGCTTACAGTCAAGTATGATGACCTCTTAATGTTGCTTTGCCTTTTTCTTTCTCTTAACATTTGTTTTCCTCAATTAATTTGTCCCTTTCTTGAAACAGAAAAGGAAATGACAGGCAACCCAAAGCAGGGCAGAACCAGCAGATGCCATTGTGTCATACAATGAACTCCAACATGGAGAAAAATCTTTTTGGAGGATTTTAGGAATTGTTTCCTCTTCACTGGACTGCAAATTTGCAAATATTAGCCTCATTCCATGTACGAACTTAGGAAATTGCCTGATTAAATAATGCAACGATAAGTAGCAGAATGGAAGAATCTCATGACTTACCGGCAACCAATCGGCAAACAATGCTCTATTCTGGCCGAGAGATTGCCAGTTTCTTCTCGTAACCAGGTTTGCGTTTGGTGGCTTTTAATATTTTACCAAGCCCTATAATACTCCCACGTCTTCTTGCACGAGGAATTACAAGTCATTCATGCCCCTTCAAACAAATTTAGTTTCTATGTGTGGAAGAACATCATCTGGTCTGTTTATACAAAATTTCACAGTTATGATACTCTCTTTATGTTTTCCATTTATTCTTTATTTTTATCTTTAATTCTTCAAGAAGAAGAAAAACACAAGTGTTTTATAAACAGTGTAACAACCGTGACAGTCTTGGTGCTTCATGAATGTATGTATACTTTGCTCATGTCATCCTCTCTTTCTTTCAACTCAGTATTACTCTTTTGGAATTTCATAATTTCTCGACTTGAGCTCAACAGCTTGACTTGTGAGCTCGCAAGCTTTTGAAAATATAGCTCGGGCTGAATAGAAGGTATATGGTTCAACCGGTTGTCCTAGAAGGTACAACTGGATAGTACTCATTCTGAAGTAAGTACTCATTCTTACACAAACATAAGTGTTCATTTTGAAATAACGTAGTACTCATTCTGAAATAACAAGATATTCATTTTCACACATTTATTCAAAACAATTATAATATTCGTTTTCGAATAACATAGTGTTCATTTTGAAACAAAGTGGTACTCGTTCTCAAATAACGTAGTGTTCATTTTCAAGTACTACTCTAACGCTATTGCATTTTTGGAGTGCCTTCGGTGCTCCATTTACCAAATTGATGGTTCTTACCCCTAAACTAGCCCCAATCTCCAAGCCTCCTTCCAAATGTGTGTCTATTACGCAATATGGACTTAGGAGTGGGAGGTTTACGGGGAGAATTAATATGGGTAAGAATTATCAATTTTGTGAATGAAGCACCAGAGGTGCTCCAAAAAAGCAACAACACCGGTAGTGACATTGTTGACCATTGTCAGCGGAATTTTACTCATATTAATTAGATAAAATACCATTTTGGAAAATTTATAAAATAAATCTAATAAAATTATTTTTATATCGATATGTAGTATCACTTTTATTTAATTTATGATCCATGTTTACCAATTTGAATAAAAATACTCCCTCTGTCCCACAAATTAAATATTACTCATTTCGATGTATTTTTTATTAAACAGTTACACACTTTGATCATAAATTAAATATAATCTAAATAAAGAAATGTTATAAAAATTTGATATATCAAAACTAGATTCTAAGATGAATCCAATTATGTTAAATTTATGCTCCCTTCGTCCACAAATAAACTTTCCGTTGTGCGTTACGATGTTTGACTGAAGTTATTTTCAATTCATTTTATATGAAAAATGATGTAAAATTTAAAAAATGAATTTACATATTAAACAACTATATCAAAAGATCTACAAAACTAGAGGTGACATGACTATATTATTTTATCAAATGGGTGACGAAAATAGGCCAACAAAGTGAATAAAATTTGACCATGTGAATAGTGAACGGAAATTTTATTTGTGGATGGAGGAATATTATAATTCAATATATTTTTCTCACCATTTGTAGTCAAAGCGTATAACTATTTGACCAAATACTATTCAAAAAGGTAATGTTTTGTGAGACGGAGAGAGTACTTAAAAGTGAACAAAATACTCAAGAACGAAGTAGTAATATATTAAGAAAAAAATATGATTGAAAGATGATCCACCTAAAGAAATGATTGATGATTTAATTTATAATTGTTTATAAGAGCAGTAATTTGGTGATCCATCAATATTATAAAAAATTAAAATATTAAATAAGGTCCACAAGATGAAGGTAACCCTAAGGCCTACCAAAATATTTACATATTTTATAAATACTAACCATCTCATTTAAAATTTTGATTACGACACTTTTGTAAGTTTTGTTTTATATATATATATATATATATATATATATATATATATATATATATATATATATATATATATATATATATATATATATATATATATATATATACACACACACTATAGATCGAAGATTGAAAACGATTGACTCAGAAAAATTAAAATTGGACATATATTCGGAGACAAAGGTAGTACTTGACATCTTGACAAAGAGCTTATGGTTGAGTGACATAACTATCTCTTCAAATAAGAGGTCACATGTTCAAACTCAACTCAGTAATTGAGAAACATGTATGTATCGACAAATGCTATATTGTAATAAAATTAACAATATTCAAAAAATATTTAAAACTCTCTCTCGTCTTAAAAAACTCTTTTTGTTTTGACTTTTTTAGTCAAGTAGTGTCATTCTTTGACTATAAATTAAACATAATCTAAATCAATAGTATAAAATTTTGTTATATCAAAACTATATCCTAAGATAAATCTAATTATATTTAATTCATATTATAATTTAATATATTTTTCTCATAATTTGTGGTTAAAGAGTATCACTGTTTGAAAAAAAATCAAAATGAAAAAAGTTTTTAAGATCAGAGGAGGGAGTAGTACATTTTATTAGTGATGGACTAGAATCCAAGAGATAAAATTAAAATGCAACTTGAAATGTGTTCTATTCTATCATTTGAGTGATCAAAATAAGAAAATTATAAAATTTTCAAAAGTTGGAGAAGTAACGTTTTAAGCTGTCCAAAAAAAGGGTGGGGAGCAGCCAAAAAAAGACACTCCTTATAACAAAAGGGCAAATTTAGTACATATCTTTCGGGAGCCATAAAAAACAAGAATAATTTCCGTTGCCGGGACTTGAACACGGGTCTCTCGGGTGAGAGCCGAGTATCCTGACCAGCTAGACTACAACGGAACGATGAAAAGCTTTGAAGAAAAGCTTATAGGTTCTTATAATTACAAATGACAACAGGGTAGGAGAAAGAAATAAAAGCACTCCTTATCCGTACTTAGGGGTCTGTTTCTCTGAGGTTGAAACTAAATTTTTTCAGCTCTTAGGTTTTTACAATAATGATTTAAAAAATATTTTAAATATAACAAATATACAAAAACATCATACATCCAACTTTATAAGATACCACTCAAACACTGTTAAAGATAATTTTTTTATCCAAAAATTGTTTTCTTACATATTTATTTGGATGATCATTTAATTGAGTGGTTTTGAAAAATTAAATTTTTCTAATATTTTTCAATTCTTTCCAAATTTTTTTTATAATTCCTTCTAGGTTATTCTAGCACCAGCTTTAACATTCCAGCTAAAACAAGAGACATTTAAAAGTGAAAAAACTGTTCACAAAACTCCATACTCAACTCAAGAGCAAAGATAAAATAAATGTAGCACCATGCATTGCTTACAAATAATCAAATTTTAACTCTAGAACCTTTTATTTAAAGTAATATTTTTATTATGGGAAAAGCCTTATTATCCTTGTAGAATTAAAAAAGTTTGCAAAAATTATATTTCCACTTTTTATCCTGGGAAAAGCCCTATTATTCTTGTAAATGTGGCGCATTAACAATCGTCTCTTCAGATTCGACTGGACAGTAACTGAAATGATGTAAATTAAACTTTAATTTTAAATGTAAATGATGTGAGTTTTGATGCTTATTGGTTTAAAACAGCAAAAGGGGCAAATTTAAGAGGGTAAAATCGTATTTTGATATGGTTTTACTTTTTAAAAGATTATCTTTTTTCAAAAACCGTAGTTCCTGCCACCAAATAGGAAAAGAAATTCCGTTGCCGGGAATTGAACCGGGGTCTCTCGGGTGAGAGCCGAGCATCCTAACCAACTAGACTACAACGGAATTGTGATTAATTCGTTTCTGTTAAATATTTGTACTTTGGAGTTTCACGGAGCATTTATTTAAGTAATTGTTAGAATAAATTGGAAGGAGTTAGAAAAATAGAAAGAATTAGAAAAGGCAAAAGGATTTGAAAAAAACAGCAAGACTCCTATAATTTTAAATTTCAAGTATTGTTTGGAAAGTCATAAAATTTTAATTCTAGAATTTAAATTTTGAATTCGACAACAATGAGTAAAGAAGGTGATTGATATGTATGAAATTATTACGGAGTATTCAAGTCCCGGAGTATAAATTGAAGAAATGTTGGACTTGAAATTGTAAATGACATGAGGAGAGATGTGACTTTGTGATTGAATTTGTTTTGAATTCGAAGAATTTTGTCCAAATTCAAACCCAAATTTTTTAAGTTTCCAATCATGTAATTTAGATTAATTCTAGACTTTAAATCCAAATTCAAGTTTCCTAACAGACAAACACACCAATTGATTTTAGTAACCAATTGATTTTAATAAACGTTCAATCTTCTCAGCTCTCTTTAAAAATTATAAAAAATCGATTTGGAAAGACCCATGGCAGACAAAAGAGAGTAAAAAAATGACTTAAACACAACATATTTTGTTAAGTTTTTTACGTAATTTTTAAACATAAAATTTTATTTTTGAATTTTAAGGTAAGGTAATTTTTGCCTTCAAAAAAAAAGGTAAGGTAATTTGAAATACATCAATTTAGAAATAATTTCAAACAAATATTATAAATTACAAAACGATATTTTGAGAGAGATGAGATATTCAATAATTAAAATTTCCAAATCTATCCCTTACTCAAACCCTTGTTCCAAATGGTGAAATCGCTCACCCCGAACGTCCCTCACCACTACTGACGAAAATGTAAAGAGATGTAAATTATGAGGACTTAACCGGCAACAGAGGCTGAGACTAGTGCTCACCGTGTCCAAAGAATCCCCCACTTTTTTTTGAGAGGTTTCTCTCACACTGTCTTATTCAAACCTAGTGTAACTTAGAGTGGTAGTAATGAGAGATGATTTGGTGTTTAAATCCAAATTGAACCCAATTTCAAGCATAAACATGAGATTTAGATATGTGATTTTCATATAGTACGTATTATTTTATTTAATTTAATTTAATTTTTTTTTCTGATTAATTTAATTAAATATAATGATTTATTTTGTTTAATTTATATAGATGTAAATAGGACAAAAGTGTCAAGTGGACACAATGGATGTGTGTAGAAGTTCACTCTCGCGGACGGTCCAGCGCCCCCCAGAACACTCCAGTGTTTATTCCTCCCTTCCCTTTGAAGAAGAAGAAGAAGAAGAAGAAGAAGAAGAAGAAGAAGAAGGCTATGAACCTTTAACACACCTCCTATCCGGCTATCCGTCAGCAATTTCTTCTTCGCCTGAATTTCCAAGTTTAATCTAAAAACCCCATTTTCTTCTCTCTTTCTCATTCGCCGAAGAATCCACCGTCAATGGCAACCACGGCGTCGTTTTCCGGTGTCCACTGCTGCGGCGTCCAGCCCTCCACCAGAGCAGCTCCCTTTTCTTTTCCGCCGCCGTTATCAACCAACTTCTCGCCGAAACCTCCGCGGCATAGAACCCTAATTTCACTCAAACTGCACAGAAAAGATTCGATTTTCAACAAAAAGTCTAGGTCTTTAGTTGTCCGATGCGAGGCCGCCAGCGGAAAGGTATTTACTTAATCCTGCATATGCGATATCTTGCTTTCTTATGATTGTGATCGTAGAAGATTGATGTGTTTCTGTTGAAATTTTGGGGTTAACAGGCTGTTACTCAGCAAGAGTTCACGGAGATGGCATGGCAAGCTATAGTGCTGTCGCCAGAAGTGGCAAAGGAAAACAAACACCAAATAGTAGAGACGGAGCACTTGATGAAGGCGCTGTTGGAGCAAAAGAATGGGCTTGCTCGCCGGATATTTTCCAAGGCTGGTGTGGATAATACTCGCCTGCTTGAAGCGACAGTTCGTTTCATTGAACGACAACCTAAGGTTTGTTTGTTTGTTTCTCATTTTTTCCTAAGCTGAATGCCCACTGAATAGCCCATTGAAAAATGATCATTAACATTGTGGAAGAAAGAGTCGCGAAGCGCCACAATTGGAATTTTTTTACACTATGTTTGGTTCAAGAAATTTGAAAGAGAAGAAATTAAGAGGGAAAACAAATTTTCATGTTTGGTTAGAGGGGTATAAAAAGAAAAGTGGAAAGGAGAAGAAAATGAGAAGACAAATTCTCCCCATTTTGATGAGGAGAATAAGAGAAACCCATTTTCTTTTCCTTCCAAATTGTTTGAACCAAACATAGCGTCAAGGATATGTGCCATGGGAAAAAATGCACATATGTCAAACAGGGCTTCATGCATCATATTGTGTATTTGTGTTTAAGTTGTATCAAAATGGACACTTAATCTAGTCAATTTTATTGACTGCAGCAGTTGGGTTTCCACGCCAATCATTTATGATCCCAGTTTTCTAATACTGAGCTTGTTTGGTAGGACAATTTAGCTAAAATATTTTTTTTAATCAAATAGGTTTAATCAAAGATAAGACTTATAAGAAACTCATGCAATCATGCTTATACCTTGATTAAAGTCAATCCAAGTTTGGATAATACATATGATAGCATTGGGCAGCATTTGGGGCTGGAACAAAAGAAAAATTGAAGATTGGTACCCTTTCTGGGTTTTTTAATACATATTAAACTTTAGTGCTCAATTCTGATACCTAGTGTTTGGGTGAAGGGTGAACATTCATGCATTGTTTGTAATTGCAACATACTTTATTTCTGGTCTTCAAATGAGCAAGCTTAATATAGTTCCCTCCTATTTGAAAGCAAGTTCACTTGTAATCGTTTTGTTTTTCCATACAAAATCATATTAGGTTCTTGGCGAGTCAGCAGGTTCAATGTTGGGGCGAGACATGGAAACATTGATTCAGCGGGCCAGAGAGTTTAAGAAAGAATATGGTGATTCATTTGTGTCAGTGGAGCATTTGGTGCTTAGCTTTGCACAAGACAGGCGTTTCGGAAAGCAGCTGTTTAAAGATTTTCAAATTACTGACAAGACTCTAAAAGATGCCATACAGGCTATTAGGGGACGCCAAACTGTTATTGATCAAGGTCTTAACAATTTTGCTTTTTTGCTTGATTTCCTCATTATTTTATTTTATGCTTAAAAACTGCGAGTCTAGGTAATTGGAGTATATGATTTTGCTCATGCTACGAGCCTACGACCTGATGCTTTTTGTTAATAACTTTTGAATCATTTTATAGGTGATGAATTGTAGTACTTGGTGCTTGCTGGACACTTATTAATCTTTTTCATAAATTTTGTGCAGATCCTGAAGGAAAGTATGAAGCTCTGGAAAAATATGGAAAAGATTTGACTGCAATGGCAAGGACAGGAAAGCTTGATCCTGTTATAGGCCGAGATGATGAGATACGTCGATGCATTCAAATCCTTTCTAGGAGAACTAAGAACAATCCTGTCCTAATTGGAGAGCCAGGTGTTGGAAAAACTGCAATATCTGAAGGGTATGCACAGTTTCTTGCAGTGCTTTGTTTATAGCTATACCTTGCTGCTAATGCAGGAATTTCATTTTAAAAATCCATCATTAGCTCTATGGATCATTATGTTTAGGCTTGAATTTTTTTCTTAGGGTCTGTTTGGAACCTGGAAAATATTTAGGAAAAACATAAGCAAGAATTGGGGTAGAAAATTTGGAGAAAAAAATTAAACTCAATCTGTTTTAGATAAATTTTCATTTTTTTTATTTATATACTTCCATTATATGAATACTTCCATTATTTATATATATATATATATATATATATATATATATATATATATTTCTATTATATGTGAACATTAAAAAACCAAATTTGTTTTTCCTAGCAAAAAACAAACATACGAACCATTATTTTTATTTTCCCCTCTTTCCCTACCATTTTCATGTCCCAAACATAACCTTAGAGTTTGATTTAATAATCGTCTTATTGCTTGTTCTGGCATCTGATTACTGATTAACAGGCTTGCCCAGAGAATTGTGCAAGGAGATGTCCCACAAGCCTTGATGAACAGAAGGGTGAGTGTCATATATATATATATATATATATGCGTGTGTGTGTGTGTATTGCATTGACCTGGATGTGCTAAGTATGTTAAATGATTTCACTTCGTATGTGCAGTTGATCTCTCTTGATATGGGAGCACTTATTGCTGGTGCAAAATATAGGGGTGAGTTTGAAGATAGGCTTAAAGCAGTGCTCAAGGAAGTGACCGACTCTGATGGGCAGATTATCCTTTTCATTGATGAGATTCACACTGTAGTCGGTGCAGGTAACATTCTTCTTTCTTTTGTCACTTGCTGTGCCATCGTTGCACAAAAGATCACATTTGATCCTTGTTGTGTGCTGGAGTTCCCCACATGCTTTGTTTGGGAGTAGGAAAGAAAGTGAGGGAGAAGATAAAGTTAGTACAGAGTCTATCTTTATGTTCTTTGGATTGAGAGAAATAAGGAAACAGAAAAGAAAGAAGAATAAATGTATGGTTTAAAGACAAATTTATCCCTAATAATGTTTATGTTCAGGCGCCACGAATGGTGCCATGGATGCTGGCAATCTGTTGAAGCCGATGCTTGGCCGTGGAGAGTTGCGTTGTATTGGTGCAACCACATTGGACGAATTCCGGAAATATATTGAAAAAGATCCGGCATTGGAGCGCCGGTTCCAGCAAGTCTATGTTGACCAGCCCACCGTTGAGGACACTGTCTCTATACTCCGTGGGCTCCGCGAAAGATATGAGCTTCACCATGGGGTCCGCGTATCGGACAGTGCATTAGTTGATGCTGCAGTTCTCTCTGACCGTTACATCAGTGGACGCTTTTTACCTGACAAAGGTTTGATGCACTCCTAATTTTTTTTTATGAATGCAGTGTTTGGATCTGAATTCCTAGAGAA